CAAGCAGCAATAATGAATGGGAGTATACCTGCATCCCAGCAGGAATCACTAATAGATCATATCACACAACAAAAACACATACCTACTACACATGGACTTAATCTGCTTTTATGATCTTATACTTTTCCCACTGAAGAAACTAATAGTCTTGCCTCACACAAAGTGTGTGGTATCCTTACCTTGAGCTGACATGATGAGGTAGGTGGTTCAAATTAGCAGATCCAATGAAAACACTCTGTCTTGATGCCTGCAGCTCTCAGCAGGTCAGCTCCAGAGTCTATGCACTCAGCATGAAATTGTTTGAAACTGACATAAGCTTGGACCTGGTAGAAAGACACATGCACCATAAGAAGGGTTGATGTATCTAAATATTTTATAGGCTGTCACAGGCATACCCAGACATGTGCACGGATCCCAGAAGAAGACCAAACACGACAATCAAGAAGACTGAGATTAGTGATCCCTGCGTAGGATTTTTGTTGAAAACTTTGCTTATGAAGGCCTCCAAATGACCTAATGTTCTTGCATTTCTTCAGGCTTGACAGTTCTGAGAAAATTCCTGAAGATCCATCTCAGATCATGGATCCAAAATGGATCTAGAGGGACTTTCTCAGAACTGCCAACTCTGAATGAATCCACAAACATTGGTTCATTTGTAGGCTTTAATAAGCAATGTCTTCTATTATAATTCCATGATTGAAGATCATTAATCTAGTGGCCATCTCGATTTTTGTGTTATGTTGTGTGGGATCTGCGCACATGTCTCAGTCTGAGCGGTCTGAGCTGAGCATACCTATATGATTATCTTTGCATTCATCCAATGACGGCCAAGGGCATACGAAATACAAAATCATTCAAAATGCATGCAAATTCCAGAATGATAGCAATAGAGCTCAATTTGAGATTACATCTGCTAAAAATTATGCTTTTCAAGGCTGCAAAAGAAACAGAAATCTGAGAAATGCATGTTCCCTCAACCAATATATACACCACTAGTCATTACTTTCTTGTAATGACATAGGAATTTGGATCACATGGAACATAACCGTACCTACAACTGAGTAGGCACATCAATAAATCAATGCAAAGAAAGGCAGAAACTGGGCAGAAACTTGGCAGAAACACCAAACCGCCGCACACGGTCATTGAATTGAAATAGCCATATTGCCTCATGTAAACATCGCCACGAATGCTAAACCACTGTCCAATTTGCCTATTTCAAGGAAAATGCAATTCAAACGTCCAGAAAGTAGAAAATACATGTGACATGAGACACATGTTCTAAATCGTGATGATATTTCAACAACTTTTTATTTACCTATATATCAGAAAGAAATTAGAATAAGATCAGTCAGTTTATATAGCCTTGGATCAGTCTCTTATATATGTGAGACAAAAATTTGAGACCTTAGCTAGGACATTATTAAATAATGGTTGTAGTGGAATTCAATGAAATCAATAATTGGGCTCTTTAATTTGAGAATAATAAAAGCAAAACAGGATTGAAGTGTTAATTTATTGTGAAAATATGTGTCGAATTGCATTACTTTTGCTGTGTTTTAGTTTGATTTCGGTATCCTTGATTCACCAAGTTCTTTTTCCTTCTGGCACCTCTTATACTAAATCTGACGTCTTGAGTAAATTTTTATAAGATGTATATTTAGGTAATGAAATGCGTAAATTATAACAAAATAACCAGAATTTCTGTCCTCCAAAATGATAAACTGTTCGCTTTTTGGAAAATACTCGAACGTTAAAAGCACAATTGTTTTCACCTTCAAGCGCTTTGTCTCTTGCTGCTGATGATTGGTTTATGTCTTATGACATCATGAAACCAAATAAAATATCGAAACAAATTTCTCGTGTTTGCTCAGAGTGCTTCGTATTTGAAACAAATTAATATTTGGGATTTGGGATATGTATGTTTTTTTATGTATTTCACTATTTGTTTTAGGTATGATATAAATTGGTTCCAGGTTTTATGGCTGATATTTTTGGGGAAAAGGAGAGGGTGTTTCAGTTTGTGAAAACACTTTTGTGTTCCAACATGGAGCCTGAGCTGGTTCAGGAGTCTAAAAATGAAAATCAATTTAATTTAGCATAGTTAGGTAGGTAACAGGGCTTTGCCAATATTTTGTCATGTACTGTATAAATGAGTTTTGTGTGTGGTTTAGGTACCTTTTACTAACAGTTTGTTGCAATGGAAGCACGTATCAGTATTCTCACCTACCCTGCGAAAAAATATTGCTGCAGGGTTAAAAATATGACTAACTTCAAGGGACCCTCCCACCTTAAAAAAGTTAATGAATTGGCATTAAAGTGGTGTACCGTGAATCAGAAAGAGCGAAAATGAACATCTACCAAATTTTACCGAAAAATATTCACCCGTTTTTGAAATGTAAGACTTTTATTTTATAACGCGCGGTCAATGGGCTTGATGACGTCATCAGAGTCCGTTAGTGTTAAGAGATAGGGACTACGCTGGTCCCACCCTGCAAGTAAAGGGAAGAAATTTCGGTAAATATTTACTTTAGGACCGGCACACTTTTTCAAAGGGAAATTTTCGACAATCTTCCATTATTTGACATCCTAAATCAAGAAATGATACTTACATGTCACCAAAACTGCAAAAAGTCACACAAAAACTTGATAAAATCCAGTCATCTCACCCCGCGTCACGTAACGTACACCGACGAAATTATACGAATGCGGCGATTAGGATAAACAACGTGGTTGCACCGTTGCCATTTGCGAAAAGGAAAAATGTTTGCATGTTTAATTCAATGAAAATGACGTCATAATACCAAACAAAATAGGGGAAATGTTGGGAACCGGGGTTTTTGGGTGGGGGAGCAAATGGGGTAGAATAGCAAATTAAACACGGAAAAAATTATCAGAACATAACCTAACCTTACCTAACCTGACCTACTGATATTTGCCTACCCGGGGATAAGGAAAAAGTGGTAAAACCGGTTCGCCGCCACAACACTAAGGTATTTTGACCACTATTTTCAGCTGGCCTTTTCATTCCAAAAAAGGGAACGAGGCCTCATATTTTTATATGTTTTATTATTTACATATACATTCAAGGGCGGATCTAGGGGGTCGTTTTGGGGGGGGTCACCAGTCGGCCGACATACCAGGTCTGGTGAATGAATTCTGACGACCGGGGGGGGGGGGGGGGTAGGGAGCGAGTATGTCGAGATCAAAAAATGACATTTGATCTTCGTCGTTTATAAGATGAAGTTTTATCGTAAGTCACTCGGCTCAGTAGTTTTAGTTAGTGAAACCCACCTATATAGGAGCGTCGCCACGGATTTTTTACTGGGGGGGGGGGGGGGGAGGCGGGTCGACCGACTTAAAAACCCAGAAGTAGATATAGTTACCTCACTTTTAGCCTAATGCATTAGTAAATAGTAGCATACAGTCACGATCTCTCTTATTGACCTGTGTATGAATCGGCGGCGCGAAGCGCCGCAAAAATTTGCAAAAAAAAAGTTGTCAAAACACAGCTCTAAAACACAAATATTACAACCTTTTTAGCATGCTAGTACAAGCCGGAGTTCCTTCACAGTACACATATGAATTCCGATTCAATTTGACACGGTTGGTGTTATTACAGTCACTGTTATTTCTCTCTTATTGATTGGTGTATAAATCGGCGGCGCGAAGCGCCGAGAAAATTTGCAAAAGAATGTGTCGAAACACAGCTCCAAAACACAAATTTTACCACCCTTTTAGCATTGCAGTACAAGCCGGAGTTCCTTTACAGCACACATATGAATTCTGATTCAATTTGACACGGTTGGTTTATGTAATTACAGTCAAGATTTCGTATTGACCTGTACGTATGTACATAAATCGGCGGCGCGAAGCGCCGCGAAAAATTTGCAAAAACATTTGTCAAAACACAGAGGGGGCCTCCTCTCTACAGAGGACCACCGATCTCTCCTGCGGGCCTCCTCTTTTCACAGGGCCTCTTAACTACAGAAGCTACAGGGCCTCCTCTCTACAGAGGGCTTCCTCTCTACTGAGGGTCTCTCCCTTTAAGAGGGCCTCCTTTACAGAGGGCCTCCTCTCTTCAAAGAGCCAGAGGACCTCATCTCTGCAAAGGGCCTCCTCTCTTCAGAGGGCCTCTTCTCTACAGAGGGCCTCCTTTCTTCAGAGGGCCTCTTCTCTACAGCGGGTCTCCACTCTTCAGAGGGCCTTCTGCATTCAGGCGGTCTCCTTTCCACAGAGGGCCTCCTCTCTACACAGGGCCTCCTCTCTACATAGAGCCTTCTCTCTACAGCAGGTCTCCTCTCTACAGAGGGCCTCCTCTTTAAAGGGGTCTCCTCTCTACAGGGGGCCTCCTCTCTACTGAGGGCCTCCTTTCTACAGAGGACCTCCTCTACAGAGGGCCTCCTACCTACTGAGGAGTCAGAGGGGCCCTAGTGGTCAGACACAGACACTAGCGGTTATTCACTGGAGGCCCCAGGAAGTAAGAAGGGCCCTAGCTGTCAGGCTGGTCAGAGGGCCCTGAATGTCCTGACGTGATTTTTGGGATTCCCGTGAATTTCTTTCGCCTCAGACGTGATTTTGACCTGCCAGGGCCCAGGGGCACTAAAAATAAAACAAACAAAATAAAAAATGAAAATAGGACATCACCAAAATTAAGTGACCGAAATCCGTTGAGTTTTTAATTTTGCGTATAGGTAGGGGCACCACGAATTAAATTCATGACCATCCCCTTGGAGTTTTCCTGGATCATCCCCTGGTGCTCGCACGGTTGAGACAAAAACGAGTAAGATTCTGGTCTTCAATACGCCTTTTCACGCAACACGATCCAGAAAAACAAAGGTATTAGCTCAGAAGTGTTTGACAGGTGATTTTGAGCATGCAAGACGGCGTCTATAGCGCATTTAGGTCTTCGGCTTTTGGGGGGGGTCAAATGACCCTCTCAGACCTTTTGGGGGGGGTCATGACCCCGTGGACCCCCCCCAGGATCCGCCAGTGTATACATTATCCAGAAATGTATTCAGGGCAGGACTGGTGTATTTCTGTAAAGTATTTGCGAAGATAATTTTGAAGCCGGCTCGCCATTTCGAAAATAATCAATCTTAGGTTGTAGGGATTCTTTAGCAACGAAAATGTGTTTTCATCCTTAAAAATAAAAACTAATAGTGAAAAACTATTATCATAGCCTCATATTGCTTCTTTGAATTTCGAAACCACCATGCTCCCAAAGTTGTCATCCCGCCGGACCTGCCAAAGTTATACCACAAATTCTCGAATAATACCAGTGGTGTGGGTTTCAAATCAGTAGCAGTCAATATCAAAATTGAATTGTCTTTCATATTTTATGTGTGTTTTGCATTTACTAATGCCCAAAACTAGAATTAATCCATGTTGAATACATCACCACCATTGGTGTTCTTTGTCACCCTGTTCCACTAAATTTAATATTGTTTAAAAACAAGACCGAGTCGGCATCTAAATAAACCACCAAAATGTGCAAAAATGCACAGACTATAACATATAAAAGTATTAAAGCTCAGCTAATTGGGGCTCATTGTCAATTTACCTTCCAAAGTTGAAATTTAAAGTTTTGGGTACCAAACAGTCTTGAACAAAAACATTCATAGTTGGTAAACCTACCGCAGATGGGCTCATAAAAGGTGTTCATCATAATAAAAATTAAATTTTCTTTCCCGATAAGCATGTTTTATTGCAGTTTCGGTGTCATAAGATATATTTTTTTGGTCTAGAATGTGAGAGCTTCCTTGCTGCCAAAAGTCACACTGTAACAATCAATGAAATATTACTAAGAAATAAAACCGAGTCGGCATCTATTTATAGTACAATAATATACAAAATTAAATTTTCTATCTGCTGGTGTAAGGTTTTATACAAAATAAATTGGGGCTCAGTACGAAATTCCATGTTAAAAACTGCAGACCATGATTATCGCCTTCAGCTGCGCACAGTTTACTGTACTGCTATCGCTAGCGAACGCCAGCTCTCTCATTTGATTGGTTTAACGGCGTGTTCGTTGCTGACGGAGAACATCCCTGATTTTTGAATTTGTTTTGATTAGGCCGATTAGGCACATTGGAACTCGGTTAAAGGGACACTCCCACCTTAACATTAGTTTTGAGTTGAGATAGCCAAATTGGTGGCCATGGCCTGCAAATACCGGTTTGGGCACTCACAACATCGACAAATGCTTTAATTCGGAGATATGGAATTTCAAACTTGCAGTTTTCGGATTCTAAGGGGCTAGTGCATTGGTATGCCCCCTTAGAATTTGTGACGTCAGCGGAGATCTAACGATTTTTAAATCTTTTACTAAAACGTTTGGTAGCACGCGGTGGTATATGCTGCTTTGCGCGCAACAAATGCCGCACTTTCAAATAAAGTCGCTAGGAACAGCGGAGATCCCGAAAAGTAAACAAAAGTAAAAGTCTAATATCTTGAAAACCAGTGAATATTTTTCGATGAAATTTGGTAGATATTCGTTTTCGCTCTTTCTGAACCGAGCGACATCACTTTCGTGCCAATTCATTAACTTTTTTGAAGGTGGGAGGGTCCCTTTAAAATTCAATTTAAAATTGTGCAGCTTGTTGATGGTAGAAGTTGTGAAGCGCATAACATAAAAGAGTTGTGTAGAGATTGTATGGGGTGTTGGCGTTTTTTGTAGTTTCCTTTTTCTTGTGCTCTTTTGAGATCTTTGCAGGGGTTGGAAATTTGCAATCACACAGTGTTTTTTGTTTTGTTTTCATGCCACAATTATGGGCAACATGGCAGGGCAAAGTTTGCCTCAAGTCCTGGCTCGTTCGTAGCCTTGATTTGCATTCAAGAAAGCAGGTCTGTGCCCAAATGCACGCTGCACATTTTTTATATTCTTCAAAGCAATCGAGGACCGAGGTTCATTTGCCGATGCTGCATGGAGTATGCGAAGCAAAGCAGTGTCATGCTGACGCGGAGACAAAGACGTGAGTATGAAACACAATACTACAATACAGAGTATGACTACAATACTTGGCAAAAAGGCAAGCAAAATGCATCACTTAGTTCGACTAATCCGCATCATTCTATATCAACCAATCTGGAAATGTGTACCCTCCAGTGTACCAGTATGCCCTGCATAAATGTGGCAGAATTGAGCCAGAGCCCATGCTAAGCGTGAATTGCTGTGTTGACCTACAAACCCCACCATGCACCAGGCATCCTTGAGCATGTGCTGTGTTGTGCAGGTGATTGTGCATTGGTGTTCATGTGCTCCTGGGTGCCTTTTTGGTGGGGGGGGGGGGGGGGAGGTCGAGCTGGTTTTAGACTAGCAACATTATTCCTAGACAAGTTATTTGTTGATTTTTTACATTTACTTAAGTTACATTTGGAAAGTCTTACATTTGGAGTACAGCTAGGCACATCAGCCCACCATGGGAGTCTGACTAGTAAAATGTAGTGTTTGCAACCTGTGGTGACATTGAATAAGCCAAATGATATAAGATCGTCATTGTGCGCTGCTGTCGCCTTTGTTTTCATTGTGTGTTGTGTGGTTCTTGAGTTATCATCCTATCCACCAGGTTGTATCTGGCGGTGGTTCTGGAGACAGCGCGGTTCGATCCAGCTGTGGGCCGGACGTCACCCAGCAGAAATGGCAGCGTGTTATCACCAGCTACGAGGCGCGCATACAGACATTGTCCAGAAACAATCACGTCATATCCAGGTCAGTTGTGCATCCCACCGACTCTGTAGGGCAGTGATATAATGCCAATTGTGTTACCTGCCCCCTGATAGGTGATAATGGCGTCCCCCCGTCCTCGTTGAGTGGCGTGATGACTGTGACCGGTCACCGGTCGACCACAGGTCGATCGGGGCCGGTTGTCGCTGTGGTCCGAGAGTCGAGGCGGGCCCAGGGGCGACCTCCTTGGCCGTCTGATCTAGGCGTGGTCCCATACATGCATTTCCCATCAATATGTGAATTTCTCAATTTATAGGTAAATGGTTGTGACCAATCACTGTTCAACATCTGCCAATATAACCCGACCTGCGTCCTCCTCTGGCCTCCACCCTCAGGCAGTCAGCTGAGTCAGATCCAGGACCAGCTCCAGAGCGTGAACCTGTCATTGAAGGCCGTCAGTCAGGCACCACCTACCTTCACTGTACAATCCTTCGGTGTTACAAGTTACAACCAGATTAATTGCTTTATGCTCCACTCAGTCTGCTGTTTGACCATAATGGGCTGTTTGAATGGCATGGCATATTGTGTCATAAGGAAAAAATATAGCATTGCAGTTAAAGGCCTACTTGCATGACTATGCTTCCAGTGAATGCTCTGAATATTTCTTGGTGAGTTAAATAGATTACCTTAGGGATATTCAGCATAGGACTTGAAAATGATATGGTCCCTAATGAGTCATTAACTCTTTACTGTGTTTCAGAGCGCCACGCGACCACGATGGGACTGCCAACGATGGCCTGCTCACCGACAGCTCCCCGCCAGCCAACGGGCTTCCGCCAGCCAACGGCGTTCTGCCCGCCGATGGTGGCCCGACGACCGACGGTCGCTCGCCGGCCGAAGGTGATCCTGTAGCCGAACGAGGCTCGCCGACCTACGCCGACCGACGCCGGCCCGCCCGCCGACGGCGCCCTGCCAGCCGACCGCGTCCCGCTCGCCGACGGCGTCGATACGCCGGCGCGCGTATCGACATTGATCAGAAACGATCACATTATGTCCAGGTCAGTAATTGTGTCAACCAACGCATCCACAGGTCAGCTGTGTCCATCTTCGTTACTAGGTCAGTGACCCTAGGTGGGTTGCTTGGGGGAACTTTATGTGTTGCCGGGATGGGATGTCTGCTAATGCAGGTGCCGTTGCAAGTGTCGTGACGCTTGATGGTCTCAGGCTTGAGCTTCGAGTGAGTGAGAAATGCTGAGTGAGAAATGTGTAATGTGTATACAGGCGAATGTACTGTTATTATGGATGAGTGTGCGACAGGGAACGTTATGAGGTATGATTCGCGGTCGCCGTGGCTGGTAGTGGCATTTTACGCGACCGTCGTGACCTGTGACGGCAGCCGTGACTGCTATAGGACAGTCGCCGTGACTGTTCTATAACGGCCTTCGTGACTGAAACGTGACGGTCGTCACTCGTCGTGACGTGCCGCGACTCGCTGTTTTGCAGGTCATTAGTCGCGGGCGCTCGAGCTGACGGTGTCGTCTGACGGCTCCACGGTGACCAGCGCCGCCTCCGCCCCGAGAACATCAGACTCCTGAAATGCTAATGGCCGTACACGAACAAGAGGCTCTAAACATCCAGGTGCAGGATACGCGCCATGCTCAGAGGCGTCATCTGGAGAAGGCCGCACAGTGCACTTAAGGCTGAGCTCGGGTGTAGTGCGCGCAGACAGATATGATCAACTGGCCATCAGATTTCAGTACGGAACTCAAGATGATTGGAGCCGACGTGGTTCGGTTGATGGTGTGTCAGGGTTGATTGAGAGTGGAGGCGAGACACCCGGATCTGTGAATGATACGCCGATACGGGTCTCGACGTCGTCTCGCAATTTGTGCTATGTAATATGACGGCTATGCCGTGGTATCATTCACTCTCGATGCGCTAATAAATAATAAATAGGACAGAGACTGGAATTAAGATTATTATATTTGGATGTAAAGGGGCAAGTTTTGGCCAGCGCTATATTAGAAATCGTGAGCGTGCTAGTTGCAATCAATCGCGCGCTTCTTGCTGAGCATCTGTGAGCGAGAAAATACTTTCTCTGGAACGTTCGTCGTAAAATATGTGTATCTTTGGAATGAGTTGTCAGAACATGAATGCATTTTTGGTGTCCACTGCAGCTGCTGTTCTGGAACAGAAACATGCCGAGATCGGCTGTGTAGGTATGTACTATGTACGCTGTGGCAAAATCAAGCAGCCGTACCATGAATCAAAAGCGATATGTGAATTAAAGTGGATATATTTCACTATTTTTTTTTCAGTTTTATCATACAGATCACAGAAATGCGTCAAATACTGATCACACCCGGTTCCAAACAACTAAACGCTTGCCATCACTGGAAAGTAAATAAACAATAAATACCCATGTGGCTGCCTGGCGTGATCCGAGACTCTCTCTCTCTCTCTCTCTCTCTCTCTCTCTCTCTCTCTCTCTCTCTCTCTCTCTCTCTCTCTCTCTCACTCACTCTCTCTCTCTCTTTCTCTCTCTCGCTCTCTGTTGTTGCTGACGCACACAGGACAACACAGCCGAATCGCGACGATGGAGAGCACGGAACGATGCTGGTGACTGGCGGACCAGCGAAAACAGGAAAGGAGATGAATAGCTCTAGCTCCCGTCTGCGCGCGGAAGGGCTCTGATTGGCGCGGCTCGCTGACTCCATTGGCTCATCAGACTGTTGTTGGTTCAATGGTTTCCTCCTTCCCCTCCTGGGGAGCATTCCTGTCTAGGGGTAAGATACTTGCCTCTAGATTCGGCCATCCGGGTTCGATTCCCGGGCAATGCACGTGGCATTGCCGCTACCTGACCGCTTGGAACAGCGTGAGAGTTCCGGTTAGCACCTTGGTCCACTGGATGTGGTGCTTAACCCAAACCAACCATCCTTCCCCTCCCACAAGCGCAGCCACTAGCCAGGTAGCTAAGTTGTGCGTGGAAGCGAGCGGCCAGAGCGGCGCTAGGTCATAGGTGTCGCCCTCCCAGCGACCGGGCAGTGCAGCTGGACACTGGGCAGTGCAGCTGGACGTGCCCCGGATGGTCCGCCTCTGATCTCGGCACACTCGGCAGAGTGCGACCGGACACTCCATGGAGTTGCATAGCGTCGATAGGCCGATGGTGTCGCTGTCGTAATTATAAAAGCGTAAGTAGAAGGCTGAAACAAGATATAGAATGCTTTTCTTTACATTTAATATCGCAAAGCACAGCTTTATGCGCTGGCTACGATATGTGCGTGTCGGTTGCGGCAGTAATCATCGAAGAAATATATGATTTATGAACGTTTCTTGATCATAGAATGATAAAACATTGCAATGTTTGCCTGTTGTGATGAAAACTTCTATACTACCGCTCTATCGTCCGGAATTATTCGTGTTTGATTACGGCGATTCCGCCACTCTATCAGCTGATCTTTGTTTCCGAGTCACGTGACCAACCGGTGTCTCCCTGGTTGCTCGCATGAATAGATTGCAAGCAATGGTAGGTCAAATATTTTTAGGTTAAGTGATTGTGCATTAGGCTTCAGGCCTTCGGCCTGAAGCCAAATACACAACCACTTAACCTAAAAATATTTGACCTACCATTGCCTGTAATCTCTCCTAAGGCATTGCCTTCGGCACTGCCGCTGCTTCGCAATGAGAAAGTTAAAGGGACCCTCCCACCTTCAAAAAAGTTCATGAATTGGCACGAAAGTGATGTCGCTCGGTTCAGAAAGAGCGAAAACGAATATCTACCAAATTTCATCGAAAAATATTCACCGGTTTTCAAGATATTACACTTTTACTTTTGTTTACTTTTTGGGATCTCCGCTGTTCCTAGCGACTTTATTTGAAAGTGCGGCATTTGTTGCGCGCAAAGCAGCATATACCACCGCGTGCTACCAAACGTTTTAGTAAAAGATTTAAAAATCGTTAGATCTCCGCTGACGTCACAAATTCTAAGGGGGCATACCAATGCACTAGCCCCTTAGAATCCGAAAACTGCAAGTTTGAAATTCCATATCTCCGAATTAAAGCATTTGTCGATGTTGTGAGTGCCCAAACCGGTATTTGCAGGCCATGGCCACCAATTTGGCTATCTCAACTCAAAACTAATGTTAAGGTGGGAGTGTCCCTTTAATGACGTCACTTTCCTCACAGTTGAATAGCATCGTTATTATGTATTCACTAAACCTTGGAGCGCAGTGCGTGGCCGGTGGAGTACGCAGTCGGTGGGGATCTACGGCGGTGACGGTAAATATTGTATTGGTGCATTTAAACTTGTTTGTGCCATGAATGACTATCAGCTATGAAATCAAAAGGTCAAATTATGTCATGTGATATGCTTCTTACTATCACTTGGGGTTCGCGACGAAAGTAAAGGCTGCCGGTCCTAAAGTAAATAAATACCGAAATTTCTTGAACACTAAAAAGCTGCGGGGGTTGCGACCAGGATAAATGGTGGTTTCTGAGCCTGGCCGCAAACTTGGCTATCTCAACTCAAAACTAATGTTAAGGTGGGAGGGTCCCTTTAACCAGATAATTTTTTCCACATCAGCAGATTGTTAAGTTTCGCTCCCGAAACTTGTTATTTACTTAAAACCTAAATTTATCACAGCCAGCAATTTTTATGTTAGAAAGGCAAGCCTCGGTTTAACAAATAAAAATGTTTCTTCAATCATGTATACCTTTTGGCTTTAACTCACCAAAACTAGTTAAGTGCTTCTTTTTATCATGTCAATGGCAGTAAAAGTATATGAAATTCAACTGCTTACCTTTTCTTTTTATAAATCATATGCTTAATTTTCTTTTTCCTTTTGGTACTTTAACTTACTTGATACTTCCCTGCCAGATTCTAATGCATACCATATACTTACTATATAGTTATATTAATAATTACCTAAATGAAGCTTGATTTGAAATCAGCTGATAAAGCTTGGGTTGGAAATAAAGTTTGATTGAATATGAGCTTGACTAGAAATCAAACTTTTTTTTTTGCTTTTTGATGACTTATTGATGTTCATGGCATCAAAACCTATTACGGGCCATACTATTTTCTGGACAGTTTGCCAGCTGGCATTGTATGATGGCGCTAGCAGAGCTTGTTATATATCAATGCCAGATTCAAATAACTAAACATTTATCATTTAATTTTTCTATGAGTATTGAGTGCCATTTTACATGTTCATGTCCATCTCCTACAGTGTTTATATCAATAAATAACATAGCTATTGTACATCACCAGCTGGCCAGCCAGCTGAGTTTATCCAGTTGCTAGTAGGTAAGGCCCCATATTACTGGCTTTGAGTATTGGCATCATTTGTAGTATTTTTTTTTCTATTTTGAATCCTAGTGGTTAATTATATAAAGGAGGGTTTAGATATGTCTGCTGCTAGTTAGTATATTACTGGGTTTGCTACCTAGCAAAGATGAGAACAACTTTGTGACCATACCATGTGTGAAGTACTCAAGTCAGATCACATCCTGTCTCTGTCATGTACCCACCAATGAACCTGGCAGGGACTACATTGTCTGACACACTCTGAGCTTCAACAGCAGCTCCCACATGGCCGACACAGGGGTGGCACGGCTGGACGCCAAGGTGCGTCAGGGCCAGGAGATCCTGGCCCAGCTGAAGCCTCTAAGACACATTGAAGGCTGTGACAAGCTGGCGCGCAAGGTCAGTGCTGAGCTGAAGTTTCTGCAGAAGCTGCAGCGGAAGCCGCACATGCTGAAGGAGGACCACCTGCGCAGCAGCAACATGGAGAGCCTGCAGGCGATCGCCGACACGCTGTCGGCCGCCGAGGGCGCCGTGGCGGTGCTGGCCGCGTTCACCTGCCCGGAGACGGGCGAGCGTGTTGTGGTGGACGTGGTGGCCGCCGGCGGCGCCGAGTGGATCAAGGTGATCTCTCGGAACCCGGCGGCGCTGCAGCGCGTGTCGCTGGGCCAGGGAGAGTTCGGCCAGCGCTCCACTCAGGAGCAGGCCGAGCGCTACCTGGCCGCCGCCGACGGGAACCGACACTACTTCCGACCGCCGACGGTCCGGTTCGTGTTCTCGGCGGGCGTCGGCCGCCGGCTGGCGGAGCGGCTCAGGGCCCGCGGCGTCACCGTCACCGGTCAGTGCATCGACGATGATCAGCTGGGAGTAGCCGCCGACTCCGACTCTGACTCTGGCTCCGACTCAAGCGGAGATGAACTGGAGGAAGAGCGGGAGGAGATGGCTCCTCTGGATCAGGAGGAGGGGGATAACTCCGGTGAAAGAGTGTCCGCCACGCTTGGCTCCCTGTCACCCGACTCCGGTCTGAACTTGGACGTGACGGCGATGCTGGCGTACGTCTCAAACCTCACCAACGGCCACTGTCACGCCTCCTTCTCCGAGCCGGTGCTGTCTCAGCAGGCCGCCTGGGAGCGCGAGACGCCCGTGAAGCCCGCCCTGGACCGCCTGTTCGCCGGACGGCAGCTCGTATGCTGCCGTTCCGCCGAGCGGGCGTTCGTCTCCATCGTGAACACGGTGGGCGGGCCGAGCGAGCAGGCGCGCGCGCGTCTCCTGCTGCAGCGACTGCAGGTGGTGGAGGACCGCACGGCACCCGCCACCGCGCTGCTCGCGGCGCGCGGAAAGGTGCGCGGTCGCTCGGCGGCTGTATTCGGCACCGGTGAGGCGCTGCGCATCCCCACCGTGACGGCTAACACGGGCTTTGTGCGCGCCGCCGCCGGACAGGGTGTGAAGTTAACGGCTCTCACCCACGGCTCCCGAGCGCTTACCGAGGCCAAGGAGCACCCACCTGCCGAGGGCGGGCCGGCAGCGGCAGCAGCGGCCGGAGGCACACAGCCGGTGGAAGATGAAGGAAGCTCCAGCAGCGACACCAGCCCGCCGAGCTCCCGACCCCAGAGGAGGTTCGGCGCAGCGATGCGGTGGCGGCCCTGGTGGCCGCCTTCAGGGCCCTCCAGAGCCACTAGGCTACACCGCGGCTTCGCCGCGGCTGCGGGGACCGACAACAACAACAACAACAGCTCCGACGTAGACGAATCGGTTCCCGGATCACCGGACGCAGTGGCGCCGCTGTCGCAGCCGAGCCCGCTGCCCGTGTTCTAACTGTGACGAAGACCGCCAGCCCTATTGGCAGTCTTCTGCTGCGTGTCAGTGTGTGTGGAATTGAACAGAGTGAATGTCCGACGTCTTTATTTTCAGATTGAGCCAAAGCTGTTGCTTATGTTAATCATGGATGATGATTCTGATGAGTATGAATTTGCGAAGTGCAACATAGCGCTTCTAAAAGAGACGATTCGTGAATTGCGCGCGAGTGACACACCGAACGCTAATTGGCCCCTGCTGCCCGGTCTTCGGGATGAATGGGAGCTCTGCGCTGAGACCGAGGATTCGACCTCGCCCACAGCCTCTGCCAGGAAGCGCGCTTTATCTTCCAGCTCCGGCATCAACGTGAAACGAGCTCGCCGCCTGTCTGCGCCCTCCTCCGACCCAGAGGACTCTGCCGGGAGCGATGTCGCCTCTGAGGCTGACCTCTCCGGCTCTCCGGCTGCCCCGCCGGCCCTGGACACCCCAGCTGTCGCCCGGGTTCCCTCCGACCCGCCGCCGCCCTCCAGCAGTGAACTGACTGTAACCGCCGCGCCGGCCGGTGGAGGGAGCACCGGTGCCGCCGACGGCCCGGTGGCAGCGGTGGACGTGGCGGCGCTAGAGTCTCAGCAGCTGACAGACGCCAGTCACCTGCGGCTGGAGCCAAACCTGGTACTGGTGGCTGCTGATAGCGCTCTGGACGCTCCGACCGCCGCCCGCTGGCTGCAGCACACGCTCACACCCAAGGTGAGGACGATTCCCCATAAGGACCAAGACAGGTGGAAAGAGGACAGACTAAAAAAGTACTTGCCTGAGTTGCCTCTACATGTCTCGTTGATACTTGCCAGCTTCTCGAAGTATGACATATCACGTAACTCTCGCCGCTCGTATTCTGATCAATTAAAGGTAGTGTGCCACCTTTGAAAGATTTCCCATTTTATTTTTCCTAGGATAAGAAGCTTCTGTTTTTACCTAATATCGCAAAAAAATCAAAAATGGGCCTGGAATAGTGCCTTTTTCGCCTAAAAGTTTTTCGGTTTTTAGATATGTATAACAACTGTAGTGGGCTCACCTGCAAACAGGCGTCGGGCAACAATCGCGAATGCGGCGCACTTGTGACAATAAGCAAAGGTCATTATAGTGTTACGACCATACGACGTACGGGAATGAGTTATCAGCTGTCTAATCGTAGACAACACAATGTCGAGCCTTAAACTGTAAGCCCGTATTGGTATTGTTTCTTTTATTTGGCTGTCGAACATTATTTATGGTTTGAAATATGATTTTATGTAAAATAATTGATATGAAAAAGCCGTCTTATAAGTTATGACCCCATTTCACCACACGCAAGTGGCAGAAATGACAATGATCAGCTGACGCATTTTTCTTGGCCGAAGTCAGAGCGCGCGGCCCGACGCACCACGCGTATTTGGAAATTCCGACCTCGACGAGCATCAGAAGCCACCTAACAGGCGTGTTCGAAACCGCAGGAGATGATGATGAACGGGTTTATCGAAACTTGATTGGATGAGCATATCGGTAATAGCGATTTCAGTGTGTGCATTTCTTGTTCATAGTGGTGTGAAATGTGGTTGGGGTACGACCGACAACCCGTCGGGGCGAATTTCGCACTGGGGTACTCAAAATTTGAAGAATTTAAGACGTTTCCATGAGTTTTGAAGGTATGGATAAGTTCTAAAAATCCGGTTCTCCTTATCTGGGCCATTAACTCCATACGGTCCAAGAAAGCTGGCACACTACCTTTAACGATTAGTTGCAGTGTCATCCGTTATCACCGATCGACTGAGCCTGCTCCCCCGCCTGTCATTTTTCCCGTTGTCCGTTTCTGACTTAGCTCCGTTCCTCCCTCAGCTGCTGTCCGGTGAGATGCCGTCCGCAGAGCTGGCCTCGGCTCTGGTCGGTCTGTCCGGCCGACACCCTGAGCAGATCATCGAGCACTGTCTGCTGCCTCTGACGGCCGGAGAACTACTCACCTGTGACGATCTGGCCACCCGACTGGTCACCGAGGGACTGCAGGAGACCCACCGGATGCAGCTCGTCAGGTCAGTGACACCAGTCGGACTGTTGGCCAGGCCAGTTAGCAGACTGGACTCTTCAGTCTTCAGTTCAGGTAGTCTGTGTTCATCCAGTTGGTGTGGCTGACTATCAAGGGTCTTCCATGGCTTATGCCTGTCTTTCTTGGTTATTTCCGCGTTGCATCTCTTTTCGCTAAAAACTTGAACAGTCATATGCTCAGGGATCAATTTCAACGTCTTATTTTCAACGTCAGATGCCTTTTACTTTACCATCGAGAAGTTCTAAGTCCCTGACGTGTTAATCCTCCCCCCCCCCCCCAGATGTCTGTGCGGCCGGCCACTGTCTTCTGCAGCCGTCTCCCTGCTGCTCTCACTGCTGCCCGTCTGCCCACCCTCCGCTGATCTGGCGACCACCCTCACCGACCGACTGGAGTCCTCAGCCGCCGAGGAGCAGCACCGCTCCAGCGCCGCGTTCGCCCGTCTCCTGCTCCTGACGGTACAGCGGACAGGCCATCTACTGGACGCCGGCGAGCGAGCGCGGCTGGCGGCGGCCGCTGAGCGGGGTCGTACCGCGCTCAGGAGAGCCGTCCAGGCGGCGCTCAGGAAACTGGAGTGACTGAGGTGATGCAGTGACTGGTGGTGGAGCGTGCAGTAATCTCTGGTCAGCGACTCAGTGGCGATGTGCAAAGGGTGAGCGAGCGAAGTTTCAGTGAGTGTGACGGTGGCGCCGGCAGTGGCTTTGGAGGTGTGGCGGCGGGTCGGACTGGCTGGCCGTGTGTGTTCGAGTCTGTTGTGTGCTGGTCCAGTGGTATGGTGGCTGGTTGTGCTGTGTTGACTGCTGGGTTCCGAGATGTGCTGGGCGTGCGTCTGTGATGCTGGGTAAGGACAGAGCGTCTGCTCTGTTTACTGTGTGTTGTAGGACGAGATGGCGCTCGGGCTGGAACCGTCCCTGGTAGGTGGTGTAGTGAGCTCTATCAGCTCTCGAGGCTGCTGGGGATCGATCGTGATGTCTGGACGTCCAGCTGGGTGTATGATGCATGCTCAATTACAATACCCACGGTACCAGATGGCGCACCACTACAGGACGTGACGTCCGCTTCTCGACCTCAGGCAGGCAGCTGGTGTGGCGACATTGCCTCCCGGCTGTCCTACAACGCTGGGTTCTAGCTCACTACCTGGTGAATAAGCAGAGGGGCTATTTTTTTTAACCCTCTGTCAATATCCGTTGTCCAAAAACCCCAGTGTTTCGGACAGCGCGTTCTTGCTTCTCGGTCTTCGTTCGGCTGAGCCCTTGGTGCGCGAGTGTGTAACATTGACCTGCAATGGGGGTTTACCTCACCGCCAGAGCCTCGTGATTTACGGACTAGCAATCAACTGGGGCTCGCCGGTCGGCCTCTGAGGTATCTACAGCTAAATTGTGATAGGTGGATGACAATAGCATGCATAATACTAGTGGGTGTTCACGAGGGTGTACAGCCGCGTATCTAGTATTTTTGGTTGTCCTGGCATTGGAAATGCCTCCGCACTCCTTATTTTTCTTCTCTCTACGGGCCGCCGCCCTGTCCGGTGATATTGCTCCAAGTTTTGGTTGTGTTGGCTGTGTGCGGTGAAGTTCGGTTACTTCTTTGGTGTCATAATAGGTCAAGGGGAGGGTACGTGCTGCACGTGGTGATGGGTGTTTGGGCGCGGTGTGTTTCAGTCACAAAATGAGAAGAGACAATATATTTGCGCGCTACGACTGCTCAGGATGCGTGTCAATTCGTTGCCCCGCCTTCACCTCGCCATTCTCGTCTGATGGGTCATGACCATATGTCCTATGATTCCATACACGCGAAACAACTCAACTCACCAATACATACATGTATTAGTTCTCAGTGGCGTCGACAGGCGGCGCTAGCAGCGGCCGCTGAACAATCTCATCTCTCTTTCTCCATTCCTCCCAACAGTACTGGTAATAGCTATATGGCATAAACAATGAGAATGTGCTGAGAGGGCTGCCACACACCGCCAGTAACGGCAACCGCACACGCACTCACAAATCCACTTTGTACAAGCACAAAATAATTTGACAAGGAGCGAGTGAAAAACACTAAAATGGTCGTTCGTCGTTCAGACTCTCACAACTCCATACAAAACTATGGCGGTCAGAGAGTAGCCGCGGCCCGCCACAGCGTGTCTCTGAGCTGCGGTTGATCCTCTCCGGCGGAGTGTGCCGGGAAGACTCGCGCGCGCGCCGCCGCCGGGCGGGGGCGGGGGCGGCCGCCGGCGGGCAATATCACAGCGCCGGCGGTCGGCGGCCGACGCGCTGGAATGTGGGACAGACAGAGTGGGCCCGGCGCGCGCGTCCGTGCCGCTCCCGTCGCCGGACAGCGATGGCGGGAGCGGACGGCCGCGCGCAAATGTGACCGTTAACATGGCGGGAAACGACCGCCACATGCAGGAACTAGCGCCGAATAGTCGGAATAAAGCGCTGATCACACCACAAATATATACCACCGGTCACAAAATGGCCGTGCAACACGTCCTTAAAACGCGCCCCTCATTTCAGTCGTACATTTGGTGTGTCAGCTGCTGATATAGGGTATCTCCGCCCAGCCCAGGGAGGCCTGCAGCTATCTCTCGGCCCCTGGCCAGGTCCCGGCGCCGTGACCGCTCAGCCGGCGGCCGGGTGGCGTCAGGTCAGGTAGTTGTCCCTCTGCTGAGTGATGGGCAGCTCCGGCGGAGGAGAGTCGTCCTCCTTGGCACGACGCGGACGCTCCATGGTGGCCAGGGCCTCCACTGTAATGACAGAGCGACACGCCGTCAGCGGCTGAGGACTGAGGGTTTGTCGGTTGGTGATGGCACCCCAGACACCGAGGACAACCTAAGAGACCAGCTGGGCAGCCGGCTCCCAGGCCGCTGATGGATGGTCTACGTGACACTCGCGGGCTGAGACAGGAATGGTCAATTTTACCCGGCTCGTACGAGGGAAGTTCCCCTCTGTTCCGCACAGTTGAAGCGTATGCGGTTTGAAAACTGACGCTGAAGAACTGTACCGAAAAACACTACGTTTTAAAGTTAAACCTGGCACGTATGTTTCCAGCATAACCTTTTTTCCATTCTGCGGAAATTAGCATCATCTGCGATTCATACGTACCTGTTTTCTTTTCTCCTATCGTGCCGCTGGTCGACTTAGTGCACCGACGTCGACACTGGAACACACGTAACATGCACGTGAAGCGAATGAGCGTGCGACTCCGACGATCTGAGTCGTGCACTCGGGCAGCACAAGCAGGCGGTCAGCGCCGGAAACCTGAATCGGTCAAACTACGCGCTCTTGCGTAGGTTAGCCGATCGTGCTTTGTGACACGGGCACACAAGCGGCCACTAGTCTACGCTCAGACAGGCATGACGGTGGACACGAAATAGCGTGAGGGCAGCACAAAGCAGCATCGACACAAATGGGGCCTTCGATCTAACGGTGAAAGCTGACATGTAAGATAACATTTGGTGGTAAACAAAGGGCCACCAGCTGTGATTCACTGAGGGTAAACAAGCGAACGACATGCAGCTAGTGCTCGTACAAACTAATCTTTCATCCACCCGAAGAGCAACGTTACATCCCATCCCATGTCATAAGTATCTCGCAAAAATTATGGTTTGTGTCACTGTCAGCATTAACGTGCTGTGATTCAGATAGCTGTATGTGTTCAAACCGTTTTAAGTCAGTGACGCCTAATATAATGCCTATAATGCCTGAAACCCTGAGTAGCTCGAGCATGATAGCCCGTGATTCGGACATATTGACTCAATCTCTGCGTGGCTCGGGTGATGCTCGGTGACCAGTTTGTGACCCGAACAGGCGTTGGACCGAGGTGTTCTGTGTAACCCGTTCAGTGGTGGCTGATTGCCGACTGCGCCATTCACTGGATGCCTATCTGTAGTCCCCCTAGTCGCCCCGTGCCGACACGCGGTGAGTGCGTCATGCAGCAGCCACCCCAGACACATCCCTCCGCTCCCACCGTCCACTCACCGGCCACGCGTTTGCTCTTCTCCGTCACCTGGCGGGCCAGGATCTCATTCAGCTGGAGGATGTGCGCCCGCTGCAGCTTCTCGGTCACAACAGAGCCGCGAGGTGACGGGCCCTGGTGGTCTGAGGGAGAAAGAGGGGGTGTTACAAAAAGGCATGGTGGAACGTCCAGCTGAGACAATCACAGGGGATGAGGGGATGAGTTAGGTATAGTGATTCGAAGAACTGAACATCCTCTTTACGCACGACTCCTTTGTTACACCAACAACAGTGTTAGCTGCGACGAATCATCTTTAGCGACGCTTTGTTGCATTCGCGACCCGACCCGGAGTACCGAGGTGAAGCGGTTTTCCTAAGTCAAATTACCGGCCGTTCCGATCGAGTCTAGGAACCCGGTGCTCTGTGTCAGCATCCGTCGGATGGAGGCGGCCTTCCTGCTCCGCTGCAGTCGCTCCTCCACAGAGATGGGCTCCACCTCCTGGAGAAGAAGTGAGTATGTAAAGCAGGTCAGATCAGAGCCACCCTTCAAAGGAGAGAGGAAATCCACCTCCTTGAATGGAGCACGATGATCGTCAGAAATGGTCTCAGACTGAGCCGTAAAAAACATCGCACATTACTGTGTTGTGTGAAAACACCAACCTTAGATCTCTTGGAAAAAGATCCTCTACATATGCCCTTACGTCTGCGGATAAGGGGCTTCACAAACTAACAACCAGTCTAACTTCACCATCCCCCCATAGCCACGCCCACTAACCAGCTCCGGGACGTATCTCTCGGGGATGAGGATCTTCTGCGGCGTGCCCAGCAGCGTGTCGATGGTGTCGGCGTCGAACCGCGGGTCGGTGCGCGTCAGCGACGACTTGACCACGTCCGGCGTGCCGCCCGACTCTCCCAGCGCCCGCTCCATGTCCATGTCGTCGGCAGAGCGGGACAGCTGCGACAGACGGCAGGTCAGGTCAGGTCAGGTCACACAAGTCTGATCCCACTCGGAGATGCTTGGTATGGCTACGGAACTAATTCAAAGAAGTACGGTTACTGAAATGGTTTAAACCGTTAATAAAGGAACCAAATGTTTTACGTACAATGGATACATAAAATACAGGTGCATTCTAAAACATGATGCACACCGAGTGAGCGATCGTGCACGAAAATAAAGCACAAACATTTGTTGTGCTGTGTGCATGCGCATCTCTATATGAATATCTCAACACAGTGCTCAACAACACAAGCCAACACAACACTGTCCTTGATCAGGGACTCTCTGGTGTCCTCTCCCAACTCGTCACCTCGCTCCCTACCAGTTTGGGCGAGGGCGCTGCGGCCTCGTGGTGCACGGGCCGACTGCTGCTGATGGTAAAGTGCCGCCTCTTCGGCCGAGGTCGGGCGCGCCGGTACTGCTCGGGGCCCTGCAGCTCCTCCACAATACGGCGCGCGGCGTCCGATTTGAACACTGGCGAGGCGGGTCCCTGCTGGGCGCTGTCCCCGCTGGAGGTCGCTGCGCCTCCGCCGCCGGCCGGCAGGCTCGGGTTGGAGCCGAACAGCCGCTCGTGCGCCGACAGGCGGTCGGTAGACGGGGACTGGCAGGACCCGGGTCGGTTACGGGAGGTCAGAGAGTGGCATTACGAGAGGCGAGCCAGCGGTGCAGGCACACGACACAGAGCACAACAGACGTGCGGCCGCGGTCCATACAGACCCGGTGGGTACACAAACTACAGGTAGGTATAAGTGGTGCAATACACATTGAGGGGAGATGCTACTGCTCTGTGGTAGTTTGGTGAGTTATTGTGTCTTAGCGCTACTGGCAACAACAATGCAGCACACAAACATTAATTATGTATAATTCAAGCAAAAATAACACACATAACGGTGTTTACATGAAAACGAGCATGCAACAAGTACCTACTCGGGAGGCAAGTCCCAAACAAATTGCGAATTTCAACTACCTACACAGAAGCATCCCGGAAACACGGCTCGCCCTTCACTCACCCGATCCACCATGCGTTTCAGCATCTGGTGGCGAAAGTTGGGTATCCGGCTGATGGCATCCTGAGACGCCTTGGACCGCCGGTCGTAACCACGGGGCAGAGACAGCGCCCGCCGAAACTGCGAGAGCACAGCGTCCTGCTCAATGATGTTCTCTGGCGACTCGCTGTCGCCTTCCTGGTTATCAGCCTCCCCGACAGAGGTCAGCTCGGATTCGTCCATGCCGCGTCGGGTTTTGTCCTTTTGGCGGAGCTGAGATTCACGCTTCACAATACGCACAGTCTTGATTTCTAGCTTCTCCTTTGGTATGATTCCTGAAAGAAGACAACAGATCAGTATTGAAAGCGAAAACGGATCCAAAACAATCTAGAACCATTTATCCGGAACCATAAGCAAGTTGAAAAGATACAAGTAACTGGCGTTGGTAAGATGTCTCGCACGCATAGGCTACATCGCTGAGTTTCATTAACTGAACATTTTCAAGTGTACACTCACCATAGAACCTCTGCATCCTCTCGTCGGCCTCGGACAGCTCCTGCGGTTCGTCTCTCTCCCTCGGCTGGTCCTGCGCCGACTGTTCGCCCGGCGCGGTCTCCTGCGGCGCCGTCTCCCTTCCATCCGCCCCTCCGACTCGCGCCTGGCCTCCGCCGGCCGCCGGAGCCACGTTCATGTACTGGTGCCGTGGTGGAGGTGGTGCAGCGGAGCCGGTGGTGCCAGACTGGTGCACGCCGGCCAGGTTCCGCGCGGCGGCAGGTTGCTGCTCGGAGGGAGCGGCCCGCGGCGCCGGCTGGGGCTGAGGGTGCCCTGAGCGCTCACCTCCTCTGGGAAACCCCGCCGGGTGTCCCGGCTGCTGGTGCTGGGGATGTTGTTGTTGATGGTGTTGATACTGCTGGTGATATTGTTGTTGTTGGGGGTTGTGGGGTAGTTTGTTGTGCGGGTGGTCGTTGTTGGGTTGACGAGGCTGTTGTCCGTCCACGGGCCGACGAAAGGTCTCCTCAGTCGGTGGTCCTCGAAACCCCTGACGTTCTCCGCCGTGATAGCCGTAGGGCGACTCCCCGACACCGCGAAAGTCCCGCTGCTCGCCGCTTCCATACTCCTTGGAGCGGAACTCTCTCGAGTCGTGCTGACGAAACGTCTGCTGCTGCTGCTCACGGTGGCGAAATTTCTCCTGGTCGGCGCCAGCTCTACCTCTGTCCGAGTAGCCCGCCGAGCGCGGCCCCGGCTGCTGGGTGACGGGACCCGGCGAGCGGCCTCTGTGTCGGTCCTCGGGTGAGCCATACCCCGGCGGCCCACCGTGACCCATCTGAGGGCGCGCGGCCGGCGGCTGACGCGGCTGCGGCGGCGGCGGCCGGTTGGCGTCGGTCTCATACCAGGCTGGCGGCGGCGGCCGCTCCTGTCCGGGCCGGGCACGGGATGAATCCGGCGGCGGCGGGTGCCAGCCACGCTGCTGAGCTGGGTGCTGAGCTGGGTGCTGCGGGGGGTGCTGAGATGGATGCTGATTCGGGTGCTGCCCCGCGGCCGGCTCGTGAACGCCAGGGGAACGGTACTCGTGGTAGTCAGAACGCCCGCGGCTCACCGGCCGGTTCTGCTCGGCGCGTCGCTCTAAAGCACCGCCCGCCGTTGGCTGGTAGTTATGATACTCGCTGCCGCGGGACTGATTACCCCGGTGCTCAGAGGACTCCCGCCAGACCTGCTGCTGGTTCTGCTGTTGGTGCTGCTGGCTTTGCTTGTGGTGCTGGTGTGGCGGCTGGTGTTGGTGATACCCAGCCCGCTCCTGGTGCACCGAGTACTCATTCTGCCGGGGCTGTTCCGGACCGCGCACCGTCCTGTTCTCTGAGATCAGCGTTTGTGTGGTCTGATACTCCGATCCCCGTACCCTCGTACCATGATACTCTCCGGTCTGCGTCTGCGTACCGCGGTACTCTCCAGTCTGCGTCTGCGTACCACGGTACTCTCCAGTCTGAGTCTGTGTACCACGGTACTCCGGCTCGCCACCGGGCGCTCGCGACTCCAGCTGACTGCTCGGCCAGCTCCCGGGCAGGGTGTCACTGCTGGTCGGCCCGTCCGGCTGCACCAGAGACTGGTGGCTGTTGTCGGTCGGTGAGGAGCTGTTGAGACCGCTATCCAGTGATACCTTGTCCCCGGCGGCTGGGTCGTCGGCGCCCAGGCCCGGAGGGGAGGGCTCGCGTGGCGCCGGTCCTGAGGCGTGTCGGCGCCGCTCGGCCGCCGCCCGTGAGGGCCGCGCCGGCAGCGTGTGGTGGCCGCTCGGAGCAGGCGGAGGCGGCGCCTCGTGGCCACGAACCAGCGGCTGTCGGCAGAGACGGAGGATGGGGGTCAGCTGGTGAAACGATCAGAATATTGACGGAATATAACATATAATTGTGCGTACTTACTACTTGGACAGTTAAAGGAGTGAATTACAGATAGACAAACGACCTGCGCAGTCGTTAAGTAGTTAGATGCAGTACAACAGCCTCCAAACAGCGAAGTTGCCCGGTCACGTCCCTCGCCACGCACCTGATGTTCGTAGTACGTGTTGACAAACAGCGGCTGGTCCTTGTCAAAGGCGGCAGCCCGTCCTCCGGCCACTGTGACCATCGAGTCGAGGTCCGTCTCTATCCAGCTGGCCTGGTGGTGCCGGCGGGGCCGGGCGGTCGGCTCCGGCGGCTGGGTGAGCGCCGTCACCTGGCGACTGAGCTGCTCCCGGCGCACCGCCAGGTCGTCAATCAGACTCTGCACGCGCTGCAGCTCCGCCTCCAGGGCGCGCACCTGGGGAAGTCAGGGTCAGAGGTCAGGTCACAGTTCAAAGGTTGGATGCATGGATTGTGGACTAGTTACGGTCGTATAAAGAAACATGATTCATAGCTTATCATGCGACATCAGTTAGCTCGTAGGTGAACTTTAATCGTTGCACATTTCGAGGCAGTGGCGAGGGCTGAGACAGCGTGGATCACCGTTTTCCCGTGCCGTACCTCCTGGCTGCGCAGCGTCTCCGGTCCGCTGTTTTCCGTCATCACCGTCTGCAGGCGCTGCCGCAGCATCATCATCTCCCGCTCCAGACGGCTGTTCTCCGCCGCCGTGTCCTCCAGACTCTGAGGGATGGAGTAGGGGAAACGTCAGTACAGACGCGCCCACCTACACGGCGAGAGAAAGGCAGACAACCGTGTCTCCCTCGCAATGTAACATGCCACTACACGAAAGAAGTACTACCCGAAGCTGACACAGCCAAGCTCTCCTACCCTATCCTCACTCCCACTCTACTTCAAAATGCATGTAACTATGAAGCATGGCGCTCGAACAAGAGTACGTACTCTGGCACTGGAGGTCAGCGCCGCCCGGACCTGGCCCAGCTCCTGCTGTAGCGCCCTCTGCTGCATCAAGAGCCGCTCCGAGTCCCGCAGAGGCGCGCGGCCGGCCTCCTGGCGAGTCAGCTCGATCCGACGCTCCAGACGGTCCTGAGGAGAGGTGACGTTAGAATGGTGGGTCTGCGGTATACTGAGGAAAGATGAGAAGGGAGCTTCAAAGGGAGAAATGAGGATAGAGCAGGGGCTAAATTAGGGAGCGTTAAACTGCTCTTATTTAAATATGGAGATGGATAGATAAAGGTGTTGTCGGTAATAGCTCAGTTAAAGATTAACGTTTCGAAAAAGAGCTAGGGCACGGTTTCCAAAGCAATGACAATTGAATTACTGATCACTAGAAACTGACAATGTCATTTAATCTGACATTTGGAAAGGCATGATCAAGGGGTAAAGCCACACAGGCCAGCAATACTGTTCAGTCTAAGGTGTTTCAGAAACATGAGTACCATTCTCTTCATCCTGCCGATTGTTATTGCTAAGCGTTAGAAGCATTGCCGCTGATGGAATTCCTCAAACAAGCACCGGCCCCCTCCGCAGCACCACCACCCGGCACGTCACATCAGCACACAACCACACACGTCACACACCCCTCCTTTTCAAAACACCCACACGCCACACAGTACACTTCACACTACACCCGCCACGCCCGACCCGGCCGGTCGCCGTGCTGTGGATCATCCACCCTTTCCCCGCTCCTTCGCCGTCTCCGCCGTCTCAGCACCGCTGCCGTTAGTGCCTGCCAGGCCACCACAGTGCACCGTAAGCGTAAGTCAGCAGTCAGTCAGCGGCCAGCAGCGTCAGCGATCAGCAGCGCGGCCAGCAGTCAGCAGGCAGACCAAGCGGCGCCCAAGCTGCGGGGAGCGCTGTCTCCCGGCGGTGGCCGACCTTGTCTGCCCTGAGGCGCTGGATGTCGGCAGCCTGCTGGGTCAGTTGACGGTCCAGGCTGAACAGTCGGTCAACGCGGGCCTGAAAACACGCCATGCCACAAAACTAGGAGCGGAGAAACCAAACAGAACTAAACACACCCAGTTGACTCAGAGCGAGATATTGAACCAAGATGTCAGCAGCTGTACAGGATTACAAAGTATGAGATGGATGGTCGTTCCCAGCAAATCTGAGGCGATTACTACTCTTAAGCCGGCCGATTACTTGGATCAGAACTTCTGTAGACTTCATCTAAGAGAGAAAGTTTATTCGTAAACGTCTCAAGAATTTCGAACTGTGCTAAACTTCTCCGGCGGAACGTAATGAACGACTGAGGATATTCAAAGAGACGTCGTTAGGACACAAATGAGTCTAGTTTGACAGAGATTAACTTATCTCAGTGATATCAGGATGAGGGATGAAAGAACTGCGGGATAAATCTCCTCAGAATGGGATTAGCATGCCACGAACATAACCACGATTCATGACAGTCTCGTCAAAAGATCTCGTCTAGCAGAAACAACCTTCAGTGGCTACATAAGCACAACAACGGTCCATTCCGGTCCATTCCACACACACAGCCGAATGGTGATGGCCGGCATAATCAGACAGCCTTCTGGCTACTGAACTTAAAACACACCTGCATGTCAAACGGCTGTCCGGCGATGGCGTGCCAGTGCCGGCGCTCTTCGCGCAGCATGCGCCGCTCCTCGACGCGCTGCGAGAAGCGGCGCCGCTCCTGCACGGATGGTCCGTCCGGGGGCGGCGCCTCGTACAGCGACGACAGCTTCAGCATGTTGTCCACCAGGCTGATGAGCGGTCGCGTCAGCTCGTGCTGAGGAGGGCAGGAGGGCGATCAGACTAGGCTGGGAAAGGTAGACTATGCTATGGTCGAGACTGTTTGAATGACAGGTCAAACAGCGGTCATGGTGGGTTTTGAAATAGATGAAGGTCAAAGCGAAAAGTCGGCTACTTCATTAGTGTAATGGCCACTCAGCCTTTCAGAAATTTAGCAGCATTTACGATATCACTGCAATGGTGCTAACTGCCAAATGCATTACTTTTAACCATCTCCTTTACAGCACTTCAAGAAAGCTCTACCATGTTCTTGGAAGGCAGACGCCTGAAGGCTCACACTGCGACATATATCATTTCATTCGGAATAAGGCCGTATCTCGTGCTCGTTCGATGGCTCCGGCTCGTTCGAGTGTGCGCCATATATCAGAGTGCTGTCGTTTCTGCCCGGTTATTTGAGCGCTAGTGCGGCCGCCGCCGCCTCTTGTCGGCCCATTGGTCGCCCCATCAGTCAGGCGCTAACGGGGGTCTCAATTTACACCGATTTAGAGAGACACTGCAGTGCCGTCCCGCAGAGCCGACGGACAGACTGAATGGGCCCGCAGAGTCGATACATCGGCCGGGCGGCGTATTTCTCTTACGTCCGGGCAGCTCGGAAGGAGGTAGGTCGGGGAGGAAACATGGCCCGGCCGGGTATTAGGGGTGATAAATTGTCCAACTAATGAGGTCCCTAATGCCCTAGTATCTGCGGTAATGGGTTCATGGTGAACGTAGAAACCCCTAGCCTTATTTATCACATAGAATATCTAGGCATAAAATGTATGCCCTGATGGCATATAAAAGGCGAATGTATAGCGTTTGGGCAGCTGGAATGCATTACGGGATCACTCAGTCGCTCGGCAGCTCACAACGCAAAACGTCGTCAAACCGGTATATACTGCCTTGGTCAAACCCACAGTGTCAAACCAAACGCTAACAAGTCATGGGCTATAAAGCTCATATCCGCGAACGTTCACCCCGTTTCTTTGGTTGACATTTTACGCCGCATTCCCAGTTTTTGACCTTCCACTGACCTCACTCCCCTGCCAACGACTGCCACCGAGACCACCGTTATCGACATCAGACATCCCGATGCATCGCTCCGCCGGAACACCACCGTCCAATCAGAAACGCATCAGCATTGTTTGTGTTCCAGAAAGTCATATTCCGCTGCCGGCCCGGTGAAAGCGGATGGCTAAAATGGTCGCTGAGATCGGATCAGGTAGCGGCGCACAAGCTAACGAGGGAGTGATGAACCTGCCTTTACTCGCTGACGCACACTGACTGGTGCGTTATTACTATGACAGACATCTGTCAGCTCGTCGTTGTCATCACTGAGAACCGTTATTGGAGGTTGGGATCACGGATTCGATCAGTCTGCCAATGTGGCTCGCTCTTACCGGCTACTGGTATCGTCACTTCAGCAAACATCCATCCGCGACGCTAGCGGGCGGTTCCGAGACGTTCCTACATCTACCAAAAGACGGCTAGAATAATGTGAATGCCGCCTACTCGGTCCCAAGACACCTTTTTATCCACCCTCGGACAGTGGGACAGTCAAACGGGCACATTCGTTAGGTCGGCAGCACTGCAGGGCTGAGAGTCTCCTCACCTGTTTGTCAAGTTCCCTGATCTGCGAGCGCAGTCTGTCAATGTTCAGCAGGGCCGCCTCCCGCTGGGGTCCCTCGGGCAGCGGCGCAGACGTCTGAAGAGGAGAAGGAGAAGAGTTGGTCAGACGGAGGACGGCAACTCAGCTCTCCTAGCACAGCCTAGCTGGGTGGTCCGAAACCAGCTCAAAACTAACACAACACAGCTGCCGACACAAGTCGGTGTGCCGACGAAGCGACAAGCTCCTCACTCCTTCATCAATACACACTCACCACTGCGACGTACACACCTCGTACACACACTGAGGTGCGACTCACGACACAGGAGCCGTCCGCGCCCTCCGTCGGGCGACATTCAACACCCCAGGGTCACACCCGCGACCGCAGCCACCACCACACACATGCACCGGCACAGCTCCGGAGCTGAATGGCACCCACAGCGCTGCCGCGGCCAGCGTCCGACCAGGACGGACGGCGCCGCGGCCTATTGAAACGTGGTGCAAAGTGGAGCCGATTTATTGGCGTCGATTGTCCGCGGGGGGTTTGACATTGACGAGGGCGACAGCGGGGGGGGAGAGGAGGGGAGTGGGCGGCGGGACGGACGGTCGGGGCGGGACGGGGAGGGTGGGGAGGGTGGGTGACACATTCCGACACGAGCCGTCGCTGCCGCTGGTCCGACGAGGTGAGGATACAATGGTGGCACGGTTTGCCGGACCAGGGGCCGCACAAAGGCGGCCACACAGCCACCAGTGGCGTCGCAGGGCTGACCGATACACAAACAGACAAGCAACACGAATGCTGGGCCACAACCACATCACTAATACCCACACCAAAGCACCGACGGGTACTGACGGCTAGCCGTTCGGACCACGGCCGAACTGACAGTGCCAGACTGACATAGCGGTCACCGGCCACCCGTCACCACCCGTCACACGTCACACGGCTCACGTCAGGGTCACCGAACATATCAGTAACTCTGCCGGCGGACACATCAGTTTAGACGCGGTGCCAATCTCCCTGAGTTGGATGTCACCAAACGTGTCAACTCAAGCGAACATCTCTCTGTAAATATGGAAATTTCATTCGACTGGAGTTGCAGTACAAAGAACAGCTGCATACAGCCCGTTCAGACGAACCCATCCTGCAAAATCAATCCTAGATCCAGCTAGTTTCTTCGTAGTCTTGCATCGAGTACTTTGTAAATTACATGCACCGCTTCCTTTCTGAGCGGCATCACCAAGTCTGGTATTCATCATTCTCAAGTTGTTAGCTAATTAACATAGCCTCACACCATAGTGCTAGGACCATGTGCACTCCTTTCGGTTCTATATCGAAGCGCCGCTGCATTCAGCATGGAAACCTTCGGGCTACACAAGAACGCGCGCTCCCTTTCCATCCCCACTCCACGTGTCCAGCTCACACCCATGGCTATTATGTACCGTCAGACCAGTGTCAGTGTGTGCATGCACACACTGCAATACACGGGCGGCACTGCACCGCCCAGACACAGGGGACCAACAACAGGCAAAATCGATGGGGCGCCGGCCACTGTCTGCCGGAATGCGAGCTAGCGGTGCGGACCCCTGCGGTGACGGGTGCCATTGACACGGTGTTGTCGGACCCCGTGTACACGGCACAGCCCGCCCAGTGTATACCCAGCACACACCGCTGGCCACATGGGCTGCCACTGCCACCGGCGCCTACTGGGGCGAGGGACATCGGCCCCGTGCGGACGGCAAAAATAACAATAGAAAGACGGTGGTGCTAATAGGGGGATAACAAGGCGCCACTTGCTGTATGGCGGTCGTCGTGTGCCGCTCATCGCCGTAAGTGAATGACAAATGCACGGTAATAACCAAACGAATAAGTGATGAGTGGTGTTTTGTGAGTTGATCAATTGCAAATACACTTAGCGAGCTCGTCAAATCGATGAATGACGAGCACGATTTGAATACAATCACCTGATGCTCCAGACGTGTTTGCCAAGTTATCAGAAAAGTCCAGTCATGCACATTGAAAGGTGACCTCGGCCCTGATTTGTCTGACCTTGTCAATGTCTGGCCCGACATAGGTCAGTATACTTCAACGTTAGAGCGTAGAGCCGCGAGCAAAGGCTACCAATTGCACTGGGACCATAACCAGTCTGGTTAAATCCCTCTGGGGCCATTCCGGTCAGCGGGTGAAAATGACAGACTGGAGCGGTTGGACAGTTAGTGCCGGCTCAGCTACCGCCCCAGTAGGTCACAGGTCGGTCCAGTGACGTCACCAAAGGTCAGAGAGAGGAGACCGCTGGCGGTACCGACTGACGGTCAGCTATTACCATCGGGCCATCCAATATCAGAGAAGCCCCAGTGTCTAAAGACAGAAACCAGTCGACACTTCCGAGTGACCAGAGACCTTTTTTATCATCCTTTTTGTGGTATGTTTTATCACCATCACTTCTCCCACCCAGTGGTGCAGTGACGGCGAATATCCACACACCACCTCTGACCCTCACTCCACCGGAACCGACCCCCACCTCCCCGGAGGGCGGGTCAGCGGGGTGAGGGGCGCCGCTGATTCCGGACCACTGCTGATTCTCGACACGTTCACAGCCGGCCGACACTCGGACGGCGGCCCGTCCCCCGGGATTAGGGAAACTCGCTCCGGCCGCCGCTGGCCGAGCACGATAACCATTATCACAGCGGCAGGCGGGCCGCAATAGAAACCGACACAAACGGGCGCCAGCCATGGAGTTAAACGGCTCAACCACTCGGAGCATTCACAGGCGGCCTGTAATACCAGGATATAGTTTGTAAATGCCAGTACCATCTCGGAAATACCAAAGCCAGAAACGATTCTGGAAAGCAATATGAAACTAAAACAAAGACCTGGATTTTCTGCAGAGAACATTTAAATGCAACGTGCAGAACATCCGATCCAATTCTCGGCGACTTCTCCGCCAGCCATCCCATTCACGGTCAAACATATCTCTCCCGTGTGGCCCATCCTCCTCACACGACATGGCCCAGTCGGCGATAGAAGCCGATCTCAGTCTGCCCGGATTGGCTGACGGTGCAATCGGACGGCTCCGCCGATCCTTCAGGCCAAATCCACCCTCAGACTGCCGGATCAGTACGCTGTCTGACGCCGCGGGGCCGATCGGAACAGACAGTCGCATCTGTCCCAATCGTCGCCGCCCCGCGATCGCCGGGCGCTAAACGCTGTCATCCTCCCTGCTATCGAGGTCCGTCTCTGTTCCATGCCGTCCGTTCCCACCGCTCCGCCCGTGACGGACGGACATTAGGCGGCAAATTGTCCGTCATTTGCCGGCCCGTATTCGGGGCGGCCGGTGATCGAGAGGCGTCGCCCGTATTATCGGCCCATTGACACCGTGCTGGCGATTGGCGAGACGATGACTGGGTCTCGGAACGGCCCTCGGGCAGTGGAATACACTACAGACAATGCACTACAGGCTATCATACACTCCACGCCGTGCGGAGGTCTCTGGATATGCGATACGGGTGGACGCCGTTTCATTTACGGTCCGTGCGGCCTGGGACGGAGTTCATGAGAACCAGGCCTGTAATTGGCCAATCACCAGCGCCGGGCTATAGATTCCTGCGACGGTGCGAATAACTAGCTCCAAACAACGGCGGAAGTGCGGGATGCAGTGAACGCCCCCAGCGGCGCATAGATCGAACGCGATAAATAAAGGAAGCGAAGTTAAATTTCACGCCACACTGAGAAGACTGAGCAATACCGGCGAATTGAGATTGTTCTTCACAATTAAGTGGCAAACAGGGAACTGATCGCCAATGCCACATTTGAATCTCAGTCTCTGAACAAATAGCATGGACAGCGCCACGTAATAATTCAGTAGCTTATATTCACGCCGCTAGGTGGCAGTAGTTGTCAGCGCCTGAAGCTATGCTGTGCCGCGGTGCCTGGAGGCGAGAGCTGGGCTATCTCCGTGACTTGAAACAAGGTTGAGATCGTTGCGATCAAATCTCAGGCTGTTCGAAATGAGAAATGGAGACTTTGATGCATTTATTCAGCCATTTCTTAACTTCAGTCTTCAACACCGTCTCTCCTAATGAGTCGCCGTCTGTCGATCCCCACCGTAGGAAACTGCAATATGACATTTTAAACCGTGTGGTTGGTTGTCCGCGTATAAGCTACCCACAAATTCGCTGACACCGGTGCACTCACCGCCGAGTTGAGCTGCTGCCGGGCGCGGTCCTGGGCGGCAGCGATGGCAGTGCTCTGCCTCCGGAGCTGGATCAGCAGCAGTACCAGTTCCTCGTTACTGCGGCCCAGCAGGTCACCCGCCTTCAGGTCCGAGATGAAGCCCGTCTCTGGCGGCGGAGCGCCTCCGCGAGCCGGCGTCTGGGGACACACAGAGAGACAGGGGTCAGAGTGGAGTGGGAAACACATCGGCGCTTACAAGGTCTGGGCTCGCCACACTGTCAGGGTCAACAGGGACGGTTCAAAGTTACAATAATCAGAGCGACATGGTGAAATCCGGGCGGTCATTGTGAGCTTATCTGCGGAGGGCCAGTGCACGGGACGGCCAGACAAAGTACACCGCCGCCCAGGGGCCTGCTAGTGGCAATAGATTGTGATAGCGGCGCCGGACTGCTCTGGACTGCCATCGATTGCACGACCCGGGTGGGGTTTACGAGTCGCATTGCGGCCCAAATGACACTGAACTGCCACGAAATGTCGGGGTCGATGGTATGACTTTCCAAAAATAGCCGCGAATCCACATGCTGCAAAGAAAATCTAGGGAACAGTCATGTTTTAATAAAACAGGGTTGAATTCAGGCGACAGTGGGAATGCAACTAACACTAAAGAAACCCGCTAACTACTTCAGAGTTCATGGAAAGCAACATGGGCAGGGTGAAAACATCTTTGGTGCAGCAAAGGAGCCAAGCTGAATAGATTTGACCTGACATATTTACCATCAGCGCGTCGCCTTCATAGATGACATTTATTACCAAACTGAGCATTATTGGACGCCGGCCTCCATTGACGCCGCTGTCGGAGCGACATTGTCGTCGTTTCCCACAATTCACCGGCATTCCTAGTGCCTCATAACCGGGCCGAATGACGGCATCGATCTACGGCACGGCTCGGTCGTCTGTCGTCTGAATATTGGTATCCATAAACGGACCCGATGTCCCGACGCCGGGCCGCTCGCGCCGGAAGCATTTCATAAACTTTATACCGCCCAGTAAACGTCCCGAGACGAGACCTTTTCAGACACCGTTATGGCTCACCAGCTCCTGACACATTTGAAATTGCTCATCCTGCGTTATGGTACATCAGAAAGCATTTTTGTGACATTTATCTGTAAACTCTTTCATAGTTTGGATTATTTATGAGTCATCAAAGGCTGAAGAAAGGAATGCAAATTAATATCTTCACGCGTACCAGCGGTTTTTACGAGCTACCAAGAGATGTTTCAGGTCAGGGCGGTGATTGGGAAGCTCTCAGCTTTTGGGTTTTCCTGGGGTCATCAGACGGTCCACGGCGCCTGTCTTGAGGTCAGCAGGCCGCCGTCCCAGGGTCGACCCGGGGTCGCAGTGTCGCACCGGCCGTTGCAGCGCAACCGGACAAATACTGACCAGGTCGGTGATCAATACGCAGCACGTCCGTCGTCGGACCGTAAGGAGCGTACGGAACGGCTCGGCGGGCCGACCACTCGGAGTGCTAACTCGACCCGGCACGCGACGGCGACGGCGACGGCAGTCTTCGACCCTGCATATCGGGTCGAGGCTTGGTCAAACACTGCTCACGGATAGCTGGCGTCGACATACCCGCCCGAGTCGCTCAGATCTGGGGGCATCACGTGTCGCTGCCGAGTGTACGGCACTGAGCTGCCGTGACAACATTATCACGGTAACGGCCTCGGCGTGGCTGCAGAAAAACAGAGCCGCCCCATTACAAGGTCATTATGGGACTTGAGGATGTTTACCGTAGCAAGGAGCGCTGGCGGGATTTTCCTTCTGATGTTCAACTGGGCACATTGGGTTTGTTTCAGAAATAATTGCTTCAATGCAGAATCATATCGACGAATATATTTTAGGAAACATAGTGCCTTCATTATTAAGGTGTCGTGTTCGAAAACAAGCTTCACAATGCACAAGGTGCCCAACTTTTTGATGTTCGGCTATATTTAAGCCAGTTTCGCATGCAACTTGACCTTGATGTTGCCGTATAAAACAAAAACACGACTGCGCCGTGACAGCCAAGTACTCATTACCGAACTCCAAACTCACGACATACCACCGCTAAAAGGTCCTCACGCGCCAACTCTACCGCCAAAGCCCGGACGTACCGGCACTTAACACACATTTACACTTAACCCGCGCCGGGCCGGTGCTCTGAGATTCCGCGCCGGGCCGCGGGGGGTGTTTGAACACCCCCCCCCCTTCTAACTCGGCTCCTGGGCCACGTAGCGACACGCGGTAAGCGGCAATCGAAAAAACGTCAAAAATAAGGACGAAAACACTTCAGTCATTTTTTGGGTCAGGTCAAAGGTCAGGTCACCAGAGGTCACCAAAGGTAAAATGTTGACTATTTCAACATTTTGGAAACTGCCAACGGCTATCTCGGGAACCGATAGAGCTACAGCGCCGCGGAAAAGCGCATTCGATAGCCCTTTTACAGACCTTTCTGAGTAATGTTCTCAGATTTGACCTCAGGTCAACGGTTTAGCCTCCAGAGGGCAAAAACTCCAAAAATAGCCGTTTTTACGAAAAACGTTTTTTCGACAATAACTTTTGACTCAAAAAAGCTAAGACATTACTTTTGCCAGCATCGTGTTCCTCTCGTCGAGACGCGTCGAATGAACTATAATTTGACCTTGAAAGGTCAACTTGAAAATTTGACCTCAGGTCAAGGTCATGACCTGACCGGAAAAGGTCATGTTGCATATCAGTCGATCCACAACGTCGAGCCGAACACATCTAAGGCGTTTTCAGCGCTCCAGCACGCCTCTATCAGAAGTTATCATCGAAAAACTGTTAGATTCTGTTCGTGACCTGAGATGACCTCGGGGACATAACGAGGGGTCACAGTTGCCATTTTCTGGTTCAGTGTATCTATTTTACCTACACCTCGATGTTTGAGAGTGTCTAGAATAGCGTTCGTGCAAAACAGACGCTTTTCAATTTTCTCCCATTGACTTATAATGGAGAGGCCGCAAAATTGACCTGACCTTAGGTCACCGATATCAAAATTCCGAGATATACATTTTATAGATAGTGTTGCTCTAATCAATCGCTGAAAGTTTCAAGGCAATCGTTTAGTCGGTGTAGCTATGACAAGCATTCTTATTTTTTCTGAGGTGAGCTCACTTGGCGTGACCTGGTGACCTGACCTAAGGTGACCTGGGTCTGAAATTTTCACAACATGTGCGGAAAAGATGCACGAACAGGTGTACCAAAAACGGCGGCGCTCCGCGCCGCCGTTTTTGAGATATCCGCGAAAAACCGCAAGGGGGGTGTTCAAACACCCCCCCCCGGCCCGGCGCGGGTAAACGTCGTCGCCGCTCAACCATAAAGGTTCGGGCTGTGCCAAAGCAAACATTCCCGGGTGGGGTGGTGGCTGAGGCGGGGCCATCAGGCTCCCCAGAGACGGCCCGATGGCGTCTGTGCCCGGCACGGCCAGCACGGCGGGCACGTCCACGCGCGGCCGGCGTGCTCACGTGGCGGTCATTTGCTACGATTACCCGGCGGGCCGGCCGTTCCGGTCGTCGTAACAGCTCGACGGTGACCGCAGACACGACTCGACTCAGGGCGGAGAAGAATGGAGTGGGGAAGCGACTGGGGCTCAATACAGCCGCCAGGCAGTACGTCGGGTATGAAATCCCTGCAATCCCCGACCCAGTCCTAGAGGCAGACCTGGCGTGGTTCTTGGAAGACGCTCGATGCGACCCATCAGTGCGTGAAGACTCATCATACACCACGGGGCTTCCAGAGTCGAGACACGCGCCGTAGGTCACGCGAGCCCGCCTCCTGTGCCGGGCTACAGGTGTCGGCTCGGCACTTTTAATTAAGCCGGCGCGCCGCTGTGGAAATGAACCTAGGTGGTCCACCTGACCCCTGTTGTCCCCGTCCACCGGCCGGTCGCTGCTAAGGAAATGAACCTGGCTGTCGAACATGGTTCAGTCGACCCCTCGTCCCGGTCGACCCACAATCGCCCGGTAGCCTACGCCGCCCACCCAAGACGTCGCCCGCTGAGACCGACGTCGGTGACCGTCGCCGGCGCTCATCCCGATGGACGGGTCGGTGACGCTGCTCGGTCGATGTTCAATCACGGCCCGCAGAGTGGCGACGGCCGGTCCGATTAATGACGAGCTGCTCCGCCCCGCGGTCCGCCTGTCCACACAGAGGGCGGGTGTTTGCTGAGGCGTTGACCGGCCGCTGAGCCGGCTCACGGCGCCACCTGGTCCGAACCGACCACCAGCCAGCGGGCGGGCGTTCACACTGGGTGGGCACCGTCCGCCTCCCACAGGCTGCCAGACCGGATCAGCCAACCGAGCAGGGCTCACAGAGTGGGACGCAGCCGGACGCGGCCACTTCGATTAGTTTCGGTTCGACGCTGCCGACAGAAAAGAATAGGTGATCCAACTCACCACGCCTTGCCCGCAAAGCGACCCTTTCGAAGTTGTAGATAAACACTGCGGCCACAGAATCCAATGTTGGCCACAAGGAAACTATGGTTTAATCCCAGCGCGCGCTGGTGGGCGTTTTATACGGACCGTTTCCACACAAAACTTTGTGGTGAGAATTACGGAGTTCTCATGAGATTGGCACCGTCTGCGAACTCGGTCGTTTTCTTCCGCCCAGCGAGATGAAAACGAGTCCACAGCGCCGCAGCCATTCTCCATCTGGCCGAGAAAACGACGGCACGGTTTAAACAAACATTTATCATGGCTTTGTGGGCCAAAATGAAGATGGTGTGATAATAGCCCAGCCTAGTGGAGACGAATACCCGGATGGGACCAGCACTAGATGAGGCCAGGAAGGATGAATTGTAGCGGCAGCTACTTAACGTGGCCAAATTGACTCGGTCTCCGCGAGCTAAGAATAAAACATCGCATGCTGTTGAGTAATCTGCTTCGTGCGTGCTCTGCTCCGAGCAATGTGCGCAAGATCACTTCGCATCATCCAGTTGAAGCAAAAACCCACCTCTCGCTTCCCGGAGTGCTGACAGATTAGCGTCTGCCCTCCATCCGCAGTCAGTGCAGCTCACCTTCCACGCTCGAAGGGTGAACACAGAACCGGCCGCCCCCTCCGCGACACAGCGGCGCCGGAGAGGGTTACGAACACGCCAGCTCACAGAGAGGTACGAACAGCACCACAGGGCAAAGGAATCT